ATGTGAGTTTTTGAGAAAAGAAAAGGAGAAAAAGGCGGAATTTCAGCCAATCAAATTTTTACGTAGTGCAAATTTACAATTTAGGATGTTGACCATTGCAATATTTGGTAATTCCAAATTTGGAAAAAATCCTGACTGTATAATATGGGATTTATTCTATCCATATTGATATGTGGAAAAGATGATATTCGTAATACAAAAATATAATATTTTATTGTTTGTTAAACATTATCTATTAGCAAATTTTTGACATTTTTGCCCCGCTGATCCCACTCATTTATTCACGGATCGGCAATTAATGATATTTTTAACTATTTGTGTCACATTTTGATCATGTCATGTGTAACTGGTTTGAATGGTTTGAATGGTTCCAAAAACCAAACCAAAAAAAAAAACAGGAGTTGGTTTCAAAACTGAGTTCAAACTGTTTATTAGCAAAACTAGACCATCCCTAAGCATGGCACAGAAAGTTGTGGGACTAAGTGACTTGCACTATGCTAAAAAATTTTTAGGCTCATACATACACAACCCTGGAAATATGAATATAAGTGATTTTCAGTGTAACATTGCACAATATATGGTGCAAACATTATTATTATGCAAATAGGGATAAATAATGATTTATTATATTATATTTAATTAATAAAAAAAATTAGAATTCCAAGGCTGCTTGATGCAAAAAAATAATAAATAACAATTACAAGTAATTAGCAAAAACTATATAAATAGAAATAAGATTTAATATTTATTATCATTACCACTTTGCTTACCATGAACTTCTTTTGGAAGTTGTCTGACAAATCCATTAAAATATTTTATATGAGATTTCAAAGATGTTTTTTCATAAAAATCTTTTGAAAATTCAATAAAAGGAAAAAAAATAAATTAATGTCATATATTATTTCTTTATAATTTCTAATTTAATTACCTTTTGTAACTGGACATATAGCATGTGCTCTTTCCAATTCATCAACCAACAGGCTAACTGTTGGTGAGCTTAATGGATCAAAATCATCACAAGTTTCTGGTAAAATTGGAACACATACTCTACCTAATAAAATGAAATATTTATATCATCTTAATTAATTAGTAATGGTAATAATGATGATGATGATGATAAATTATCTATCTTACCTGTATTAGGATGTACACAAAATGGACTTTTCAATAAGTGATTAATGCTTGTTGATACTGCTCTATAAAGTCTTGGATATGCATATTGAAGAATGATTTCATTTTCACACATTGGTAAATTTTTTTTATTTAATTCATCTGTTATATCATCAGGAAATTTTTCCCGCCATAAACTTACATAAATAGTGTAATATTATGCAAAAATTGCACAAAAATTACGCAATTATTACATTCAGTAAATATTACATCCTTTTTATGCAAAATATTACGTCATTTCATATTAAAACTTACAGATGTAAACTTGCATCAGAAAAAATTTCCTGATGACTGTATATCATATGGAGGGAAATATCACAAATGCGTACATAATAATAAGAAAGTAACTGGCACATTTAATTTTTTCTTGGAAATGTTTTATTAATGAATAAATATCTATAAAAAACATAGCTAAACCCTTATGCGTAACTAGTAACCATAGTAGTAGTAATATAGATTATGAATATGTTTATTGTAATTTATCTTGTTAAATGGAATAAGTCCTTATTTATAATTTTACAATCCCTTAGCAATAACAAAGATAACATTATAGGATTTGTTCCATCAAGTTGTGAATTAATATTTTATATTTTGTAAAACGTACAAAACAAATAAAACGTACAAAGTGAATAAAACGTACTAAACGAAAAATTCGAATAAAAATGAAATGATAATAATGATTCGGAATAAGAAATTGTATTAGAAACTTTAATAAGCAATATTCACTGAATATTCAATGAACATTCAAATATTCAAATTATTCGCCGTTTTATTCAAATTATTCGTTTTGTTCGAATTACTCGTTTTACTCGTTTTATTCGATTTTATTTTTTTCCTTCCATTTTTGGAGATTTGAAGTATTTACATAATCCGGGGTCCTGTTGATGTATATATTAGTATTAATATATTGGGTAATGACCAGAAATATACGTTTATACAATTGTCACAATAGTAAAAAAAAGTTCTCAGGAAATCTTGACAAGGAAATTAATAGTAGTTACACCAAAACGTGAAGATATACCATTATTTATTGAAAAAAATCAATGGTTGAAAATCTTAATAATATTAATGAAGGTTAAAATAAATTATAGACAATTTATTCTTTATGCATAGAAAAAAGTTTTAATTCTCCATTTAAAAATAGTAATAGATATGCCTCAAATTATATTTACGCGTATATCTATAAATAAATTATAGATGTCAATATTCTCGCAGAAAAGATTTCTGAATTAGGGGACTAGAGAAGGTTAATATATATATATTTATATTTATATTTTACTGATCTAAATTACTAAATTTACTACAATTTACTCATCCGCAAATATTAGTTGTTAAGCACACTTCATTAAAAGAAACAAAACATGAAGTTGAAGTTAAACTTGTTGATGAAGACGAACCTTTATTATCTGTAGCAACGTTTGAACAATTAAATTTGTAAGTTAGTTTGACCCATCACTTTGCCAATTTAAATATTAATTATAAAATATTTGTAAATACGTACATAAATAATATAAATATAAATTATAGGAGTGCATATTTATTGAAAGGTGTATGTATATGAAATGGGGTTTTCAAATCCATCAAAAATTCAGGCCAAAGCATTACCATTATTACTCAAGGATCTGCGTTACTGATTGCTTACTGCTATTTTGCTTTAATTTATTAATTATTATATATTTTATTAATGAGAAAATATATCCATTTTCTAAGACCACAAAATATGATTGGTCAATCACAATCTGGTACTGGTAAAACCGCGGCTTTTGTCTTAACAATGTAGAGTAGAATAGATCCTGAATTAAAAGAACACAAGTAAATATTTTAAATATTATTTATTAATAGAAATTACTTAATTAAATTATTAGCTGTTAATTAATTAATTATATTATTTAAAATGAAAAAGGCACTTTGTTTGACACCTCAAGAGAATTAGCTCATCAAATTATGACAGAAGTTAGAAAAATGGGTAAATACACATCAGTGGTCACTGCTGAAGCTATTCGAGAATCTCAACATAGAGTAACTAAAACAAGACTGGGTGAATTTCACGGTGTTCAATTGATAGTTGGTACACCTGGTACAGTTTATGACCTGTTGAAAAGACAAATCATAGAAAAAAAAAATTTTTAAAATATTTGTGCTGGATGAGGCTGATAATATGTTGGATCAACAAGGTCTAGGAGATCAAAGTATAAGGATAAAAAAGTATGTATATTATGTTTTGTAAATATATAATTCGAAAGAGGAATAATTATTAATATATATGTATATATATTTGGATGAAATGACTATATAGCATAATGCCTAAAAATTGTCAAATTGTACTTTTTTTCCACTACATACCCACTTGAAGTATGTAATTTTGCTAGTAGGTTTGCACCAAATGTAAATGAATTTAGTTTAAAAGTCGAGGAATTATCTGTTATATCAATCAAACAATTTTATGTGGATTGTACAAATGATGATCATAAAGTTATTGTATTAGATGTATTAGATAAATTATATTCCTTATTAACAATTAGTCAAAGTATAATCTTTGTTCAGGTAAAAATTTTTTTTTCTAGACAAGAAAAGAAAATTATCTAAATTTTTAAACCACATGATTTTTTAATGTTTTAATATTTTTTTTTCAAAAAAAAAAAAAGAAACGTGAAACTGCTGATAGAATAGCAAGGTTGATAACAGAAAGAAATCGTAGAGTTATCAATCTTCACATTGGACTATCAACTATTGAAAGAGATCAAGTGATGGATGATTTTCAGTCAGGCAGTGCCAAAGTATTGATTACAACAAATGTCTTGGCACATGGAATAGATGTGTTACAAGTGAATTTGGTGATTAATTATGATCTACCAGTTGATTATAGTGGTAGAAATCCTGATTATGAGACTTATTTACATACATCATATCGGCCGTGCTGGTAGATTTGGTAGATCTGGTGTTTCTATTAATTTTGTTCATAATTCAACAAGTTGGGAGTTGATTAAAAGGATCAAAGAACATTTCAAACGTGATATTATAAAGCTTACAACAGATAATTGGCCTGAAGTCGAAGAAATAGTAAAGAAATATGTTACTTAATTGTTTTTGTGTGTGTATCATATCATATTAAATAACAACAAATAATACACACTATAGCAAATAATTATAATAAAAGTAGTGTAATATTAATAATAATAACCAAAATTATACTGATAATAATAAGAATAACAATAATATAATTAGTTTTTAACAAAAATTTACCTCTAAAATATTGAAAATTTTAGGTAATATAAAATAAAAACTAAATTTTTCGAGTTATTTATTAGTTTTAGAATTATTTTTTAATTTCATGATTATAAGTCGTTCCAAACGAATCCCATTTTATGGTAAAATGGGAGGGGAGTTTGTGCATTGTATATAAATAATTTAAATCAATTTTAAATTAATAAATGTCACAAGAAGATTACGTCTAAATTTGAAATTGGACGCGCCTAATTCAATGAAAATATAATGAGTACAAATTAATTAATTGGGAATTAAAAATTTCCATATTTCCATATTGCCCATATGTACTATTGTTGTTGTTATTTGAAAAAAAAAAATAAAATATAAATATTCCTCAAAAAAATTATTTAATTTTATTTTATTATGGAAGAAACTCAAAAAGGTAAATTAATCATTGTTTTATCATCAGTAAAAGAAAGCATTCTTATTCCTTATTTCAAATATTATAGTTGTAGCAATGCCTTTTGGAAATGTGTCAGTATCTCAAGATTCTTCAACCTCAACAAAGGCCACCTCAAATACTAAAACAGAACAAGGAATAAAGAATTTAATATTTGGCTCTGTGAGTTTTTAAATTCCATTTCATGTACCTTTACATATAATTTGTTTCGATCAAATCAATGAATTAAATATAATTATCAGATTTCAGGAATGACAGGAAAACTTGTGGAATATCCATTTGACACTGTCAAGACACGTCTTCAATCCCAGTCATCAGATCGTAAATTATTTAATGGTCCACTGGATTGCTTTAAAAAAACTATAAGTAATGATGGATTTTTGGGATTGTATCGGGTATTATTACACCTAATATATTATCTAGATAATATGCATGTACAAGAAATCGAAAAGCGATTTATTTATTGTTTGTAAAATAATAAATATTATATTATTTTTTTCCTTTATATTCTTTCCATACTTCAAATCCATACATCTCCTCAATTCACCTTCTCGCATATCATTTCAGGGTTTGTCATCACCAATGGTTGGTGCAATGTTAGAGAATGCAACACTGTTTTTAGCATACAATCATATACAAATGTTGATAAGAGAGTATACAACGCCAATAGATCAAAAGCACTTGTTATATGATAATAATAACCAAACAGATGCTGGTCAAATTCCTCTATCAATGACTCAATTAATTTTAGCTGGTGCATTATCAGGAGCTTTGACATCTTTTTTATTAACACCGATAGAATTAGTCAAGTGTAAATTACAAGTTCAAGAAACTCTTTCTTATGATACTCTAGATAAAAACACTTCCATTAATAATAATATTAGTAAATCTAACAAACCAGCAATATCAGTCAATAATAACCAATTAAATTATTCAGGTCCATTATCGGTTATCAAATATACATTAAAGACACATGGTATAAAAGGATTTTATTGTGGACATTTTGGTACATTTATACGAGAGACTTTTGGAGGTGGTGCATGGTTTGGTACATATGAATATGCTACCAGATTATTTATTAAAAGAAAAGAACATTCTCTCCTTCATGCTGCTGATTATAGTGATAGTAATAGTAATATAAAAATAACGAAAAATGAATTAGGTGTTACTGAACTTATGTTATCAGGAGCGTTGGCGGGAATGGCTTATAACCTTTTAATATTCCCAGCTGATTCAATTAAAAGTCAAATGCAAACAGAAGAAGAAGTTTTGTCAGCAATGGGTAAATCAGGCAATAAGAAAAGAGGATTTATTAAAGTAGGAAAAGATTTATACAAAGCTGATGGAATTAAAGGATTTTATAGAGGATGTGGGATAACTGTTGCTAGAGCTGCTCCATCAAGTGCAATAATATTCTTAACATACGTAAGTGTAATGATGGTAACAGTGGTTGGTGGTGTGTGATAATTTAATTAATATAATTATTTTTTTATTTTTATTTTTAGGAAATTTTAAAAAAAAATTTTTCATGATTGTTGTTTCTTGAAAATAATAAATTCAAAAGACACTCTCCTCACACTTACATTACACATACAAAAAAAAAATCATTCATTTATTTATTTGTTCATTTTTACTTATATATGTAGATATTTATATATACACTACTGTATAACATTAATTAATCTATTTAATTATTTTTTCCTTTTCACACACACATTTCATTCCCCCAATCAAATTTTAGAATAAATAATAAAATTTATAATGACAAATCAAATAATTAGTTAGTTATTACTGATATTGTTATTATTTTTAATTACTAATTTTATTAATTAAATTGATTATTTAATTATTTAATTCAACTGGTGAAGGTAATTGAACTCCAGGTATTGAATAATTACTGTGATGATAAGTTTGTGATAATAAAATGTTTCTCTGGTGAATTGGTATAATGTTTTTAACAAAATATCCAACTGAATCCATTGCTTTTGTTGCTGGTTCCAAAAAATTAAACATTTGAAACACATGTACCATATCTACAGTGAATTAATATTATATGATAGTGAGTATTAAGAATTAATATATATATCTATATTGGGGAAAACACCAGAGGTTGATTAATACCTTCATAAACTTCATGCTGCACAAATGTTGTGCCAGTTTCGGAAGCCTTATTAGCCAATAGACAAATTTCGTCATGTAAAACCTCAGAATCGCCACATTGTATTAGTAGAGGTGGTAGATGATTTAGGTCACCGAATAATGGTGACACATAAGGATTTTTGGCTAGATTTGCACGTTCTTCATGTGGATCAAGGTACAGTTTTACAGGATTTAATGGATCCGATTCTTTTTGTTTAAACAAATAATCATATGGCTGATTTTCAACCCAACTTGCACATGACATTGTCAAATCAACCCAAGGCTAATAATAATAAATAATATAGAGAAAACATATCATGAAAAACAAATAAAACAAATATGTTATATATTTATATGTTTTATAATATTTACCGAAAATAATACTGCACCACCTGGTAATGGCATATGATTATCACGAAGATAAAATAATAGCGCTAATGCTAAAATAAATAATTTAATTAATTAATATTTTTAAAGCATTATTTATGTATTTGTTTTGTTTATTAAGAGACTTACTTAAACCTCCACCAGCACTATCACCAGCTATAATAATATTTTGCGGTTGAATTGCCAATCCATTTGGATCAGTCAAATAAAGAAAAGAATGGACAGCATCATGAAGACCACACGGGAATGGACCTTCAGGTGCCAATCTATAATTTATTGCTAATGGTGAAAAATGATAATGATTAATTATTATGATATTAAATATAATATTTCACAATTTCCATAACTTGGATAATTTATAACTTACCAAAGACCCTTCGTCTAGTTACCTGTGATAGACGATAATTTAAATCTCGATGAGTTCTAGCAGACATCAAATAATAAGCACCGCCATGTATATACAAGATGACTTTCTCATTTGACCATTTTATTCCATCTTGATCAACATAAATATGTTTGTGATTAGCAGATGATTTGTGGAATTCATCATTCATTTGTATCCAAAGTGGTTTTGGGACAACCCATTCACCACTCAATACACGACAATCACTACTCGACGACGACCCCTCCTTCTCATCCAAATCTTTGAGAATACCTTGTAGACCTCTATTAATGATTTTGAAAGAAACAGGCGTGACTATTATGTCAGAGGGTGTGAATGCAAAAAACATGGTGATCACACGACGTAATGTTTCCACATCAACCAAATGTGTATGTTCAGTTATATTTCTCATTGCAGCACACATTAATGTAAGTTGTATTGGCCAAGACGGTTTACGTGGTCCGGATAAATGATGAGTTAGGAAATTTGCTGCTAAGGCTGTTGCCTGGGTCGTTAATAAGGCCGCATGATCTAATAATCTACTATTATCTTTTGATCCGAAAAGTTTTGTGGTTGATAATGATGCTGATGATGTCTTTAGTACTACTGATTTTGATTTTTCTTTATTCTTGATTTTTGTTGTGGTAGCATTGATAGCTGCAGGTGTTATGGTTTGATTGGCCTTGTTATTAATAATGGTGCTATTATTAATGGTGTTATTATTAATGGTGTTATTATTGTTGGGAGTTGTAATGGTTGTATTTGTGGTCGTGATTGTGGTAGCGTTAGAATCATCATTGATGGTATTGGTATTGGTTGTGGAGTTGTTTATGGAATTGGTTATGGAGTTGACATTATCATTAGCATTGGCATTTTTAGTGATGATGGCATTTGGGTTTGGATCATTAGTGTTTGTAATGATAATATCATTTTTATTGTCATTTTTATTATCTTCATTTTTATTATCATCAATACGATTATGATTATTAGCACTATTGGCAGCAGCCTTAATATTTTTATCAGCTGTAATGATGAGATTAGTGATATTATTATTGTTAGTGTTAGTGGCAATAGTATTATTAATGGTGGAAGAATCATTATTTTTATGTAATAAATCTTTAATTAATTTAAATTTGTACATGATTTTTTTCTTTATGATAAAAAAATATCAAAAATAAAAAAAAAATTTTATTTGAATTGGGAATTAATATATAAATTTTATTTAGCTTTCTTGCAGGGAAAATGCGGGGCAAAAAAATAATATATAGATAATATAAGTAAAACAGTCTAAACAATTTTCAAACTAGATAATGGTATGATTTGATAATCTATTGCATCAATGTGGGGGT